AAAGGCAGCTGTTCTGAGACTCCATCTTGGAATGGACAGGAGAGAGTTCTTGTAGGAAGTGGTCATACAGGGATCTCGGCTACAGGAGCTGGGGTGAGCTGAAAACCAACTGTCCCAACAAGTCCAGGCTGCCATGTCCTTTTTGAGGGGTGTCTGTCTTGTTACATTTGTTGAAACATTTCCTGTTCTTGTTCTTAGTTTGGTAAAAGCTATGCCACCTCCCAGGATGGAGCTAGCGACTCTGCCCTCATTGATCCACCTCAGCAGGTAATGAATATAGCAAGCACTGGGTGTGACCCATTATAGTTAAGCTGCATAGTAGTTTGCATTAAAACCTTGTTTTCAGAACTGGTATCATATGGGATCCTGCCAGTCAGCTCTGAGGTGTGCTGGTGGGGCCATATTGGGCAGATGGCCTAGTGTCTCTATAACTAGTGCTGTAGAATCAGTCTCTCATTCTCACAAGCCCTAGGTTAAGAAACAAACTAAGGAAGTTATTGTGAATGTTAATTTCAGCCGGACTATCGCAGGGTGCAGTCCACGGGAGCTGCAGAGAAAGACAAGACCCCCATTCCTTCTCCAGCAGTGCGCAGGCAAGCCGGGAAATATCCACGCAAAGAGGAAGAGTCTGTTTTCCACGCTAAGCCTGTCCGTGCAGGGCAAAACAGGACGAATAGCAGGAACATGCAACACTGGCCTGACGAAGGTAAAGAACATCGCTATGGATGTTCAGGAATGACAGGGAATGGCCTTAATTTGATGCTAAGGGAGCAGTCTGTCTAACTCCGAGGTGCTAAAGGGGAACAGTCGCTAGTGTATCTCCTAACTGCTGTTGTAATTCCATTCCTTCCCCTTCTCAACAAATACGCCATGAATGAAACTTTCTTGAGACCTGAGTTGTCGTGAAGCTGAGATACTGAAGTCTGTCTGAAGTTGCCTTGAGCTGCACCCCGCTATATTTGTTGGGGCAATAATTAAAGCGCATAAAAGGTGAAAAGCAAAGATGCGTCTGAACGCCTAGCAGCAACCCAGGGAAGGAACTGTGGTGGATGTGGAGCTGCTCGGCAGTAACTTACGAATCCTTTATATTGACCTGATTATTTGGAGGTTTACTGTGTGACTATATTGGTTTAGTTTACTAGGGGGCTGCAAGGAAAACAAGCAGGAAGAAAACACAGTGGTTCAAGATAAGACACCAGCCCCCCTTAGTAAACACCTGAGGTTTGTTAAGAGACAATGCCAGGATGGGAAAAGCCTGGGAATTAGAGATCAAAAGCACTATAGGAGTTTAAAAAGGCACTCTCTCTCTCAGGAGGGGAAGGAGTTGTTGGGGAGCTGTTTGGGGAAACCAGACTGACATAGGCTCCTCTGGGGTGTCAGGAGTAGTTAGGCCTGCCTTGGTTACCGTCCGGGGATGGTAAGCGTATAGGTAAGATAGACTGATGTCTTAAAATCATTTTTCTCTAAGTGCTTTATTCCTACTGTTAAACAATACATTGGTTTAAGAAGGCTGTATGATGACTCTATTCACCATTGGTCACAGATTCCCGAAAGGAAGAACCGCAGGTACCAAACCCAGTTGGACCTGCTGGGTCAGCATGGTCCATGCCCAGGCCTTGTCTAAGAGTGGGAGAAATGTATGATTCCACCCCAGGAGAGATGAAGGCATGAGGTCTAACAGGGCAGGAGGGGTAGTCTGGGAGACATAGAAAGGGGACAGAGGTGCAGCTCACCCTGTAACTGTGTCAGGAACGTTTTTTAAATGTAGTATTTTTTTTTTTTTTAACGTTGCCAGCATCTCCTTAATGAACCAACCCAATGTTCTTAATTGGATTTGCTGTATAAAATCAAACTCTAAACATGGTTAACAGCTTAGTAATGCTATTTCTTCGATGCCAGCAACATGGCGGGCAGTGATGAAAGGCCCCCAGAAACACTAGACTGGACCTAGCCATTCCTATAGCTTAAGCTGCACTAAGTCACATCTAGTGTCTGTGATACCCTCTTAAGATCTTTCTTCTCCTCACAGAAGAGGGAAGTGTCTATAAAGTCAAAGACCCGAGAAAGGAGATGCGCGGTGCCCGGGAAGTAATGGAGGATGAATACACAAAGATGGAGCTACCTGTTGATCAGGTATGAGGTATAACTCTTTCTGGTAAATTACTAAAAGGCTTTTTTCTCTCCTGCGTTACTAACTGTCCGGGAGCTCAGGCTGCTGCTGTGAGAGACAAGTAGTTTCCCACTGGGGTCCATGGGAGTTACTCGTATCTTGCAGCAGGAGAACCGGGCCCCAGGAGACGAGCCTTCCAGGGAAACTGTCTAGTCAAAACTTTCCTTTAATGTTGAGAAACAAAACCATCTAGAGCTATTGGAGACTCCTCTCTGCAATACAAGCTATGTAATGGTAAATATTCCAGATTCCCGGGAATCTGAGAACCCGTTTGATGAATCATTAGTCTAGCAATGGCCTAAGTAGCTTCTTCCGTTTTATAACTTCTTTTAAGTCACATTCCCTTCTTCGCTATTTTATTGGTGCCACCACAGTTTCCCTCTTCTGAATGTGTGAAAGTGGAAATAACCACAGGGGGGGATTGGATGTATTTATTTCAGCTGTTTAACATCTATAGAAGTTATCCTGGAGGTGTTTGTGTGGCTAGAGCCCTGCAAATCTGTTGTTGTGGATCAGATGTGGATACAAATTTTGTATCCGCACAGGGTTCTAAATATAGGATCTCAAAGGCAGGGAATCAGCTGTCTGCATCTCATAGCCTATGCGGCTGCTTCCCCACCTTCGAGATCCTATATCCCCCCTCCCGCCCATACAGAGAGTTGATTCTCGAGATGGCCTTTCTACAGGGCTGTAAGAGTCATAAATTCTCCAACAGAGCGGAGACCTGGAGATAAGATTTTTGTCCTTATTTTCTCCCTTCTCCAGAGAGCTGCAGAGACTGTGGAAGAAGTTATACCAAAAAACAAAATGACTCCTCACAGCAAGGTACTGCTAAACAGTCCAGTATACTTGTAGAGTGGGTGTGTTAGACGGAGTGTGTGAAAGTGAACCAGTTAAGATTAGATATCTAAGACACAACTGGCTTTAATTTAACAGGAAGGCACTCAGTACAAATCTGCAATTCCCTAATTGTGATTTATAAAACAACTGATACAATAAACTCTTCAAATCAAAATAACTGCACACAATATCCGGGGAATGCTATGCCACTTACTGTGTGATAGTGTCTCACCTTGTGTAACTGTAGTTGTGGTTACAAATCTTCACTGTAAAAACCTCTTTATCAGAGGCTTAGATTTCAAATGTTTAAAAGATTGACAGCTGAAACTTGGTATCCTCCAAGGGTGGATGTTTGGCCTCTGCACCTGAATGTCACCACCTTCAGCGGCCCTAATTTTTAATACTATAATGCAGCCTGTTAAGCTACTGGGATCCTGATGGTGCTGGGACCAGGTTTCTGCAGGTTGCACCTCTATTAAATATAGAAGCAGAAGTATTTTATTTCATATAAATTAGGCATTGCCAGGGGTGCTTTTAGACATGTGAAGTATGGATGCTGGTGACACACACAGAATCAGCTGCTCAACACATTTGTAACAAATCTCTTCAATCACTTAACAGCATTGATCTGAACATTTTCTTTTGCAATGAAAAATCCCAGGGTTTTTTTTTTGGGGGGGGGGGCAGTTAAAGGTCCCTGCTCTTGGGGGGCAATAACTTTTTTCTTATACCAGTTTTCATAAGAATTTCTAGAGTTAATGCATTTTGTCCCACTGCATATTTTGGAACTGTTGTTGTTCCCTTTTAAGATCAAAGGTAAAATTCAGACTTACATTGGAGCAGTTCCTAGCTAAAGTCAGAATTACCTAATGGAGCTCTCTGCCCTCTGGGATGAATTTGGATTCTTGCATTCTGTATTTACTTCAGAGGCTGGGGCAGCATTTCTTTGTCTGCAAAGAGTACCCTGCTGCCTCCTGCAAATGCTGATGTTGGTTTAATTGGCCTTTCATCCACAGACCTCAAACTGCTATACAAACACTTATTATTTGAGCCACATAGCCTTCCTGTGCTGTAGGCAAGAATCACTAGGCCTATTTTAAAGGTGTTTAGACTGAGGCATGCAGAAGTCCGCGGTCATATAGCAAGGCCATGGCATAGCTGGGAACAGTACCCAGAAATTCTTAATGCTAAACCCTGGCTGTAACCACTATACAACACCACACTGGTTACATTACAAGTTATTTGTATTGTTTTGTCTTTAAATGGGAAAAGGTTGGGAGCACTGACAGATCGCGGAAGGCCTTGACGATGCGAAATTACGCCAATGACTCAGAGGAGGAAGAGAACTGAAAGCCATTTCTCTGACGGTGTGAAGCTCTGAAGAGTTTATGAAGTGACTGTGATGAAATGGAGACCAAGTTAGCTTTACTCTCTGTGCAGTGGTCGATAACATAAGCACCTTGATCAAATCCAAGGACTCTTAAAAATGCTTGTTTTAAACAATAAGAATGCCTTCATTATCTGGGCTTTGTAAAGCAGGCTTCAGGTGAACAATGAGTCCGATACATTCATAATATATTTTTTAAAATATAAATTTAATATAAACCCTTTTTTTTTTCCTTTCTTGGGGAAGGTGCTTGGGGAAGAAGATGGGAAATGCGTGGGCCTACATTTTTTTAATTTCAACAGTCAAGGAGCTGGTTTGTATCTGAAATGGGGGGAAGCAAATCATTTTTACTGTATAGAATAAGTTTTACTCTACCGTGAAAGGGGAGTCCTTCCAAACACCTCTGCAGCTGAGAGACTAGCTGGGTTCTCAGTTAAGTAGTAAGTCTCAATCCGGGAGGGACATTGGCTCAGAACATTTGGTAGTAATTTATTATCCAGTAAGTGCTGAACAAGACAAGTTAAGGATAGTCCCTGCTCTGAAGAGCTTACAGTAAGAAGCACACACAGAAGAAAAGACATTCTGGAAAAACTGAGAAGGAGATAAGTATGAACCATTTAGTTTATTCAGCCTTTGTGTTCTAGAAATACTGTGATGTAGCAATTAGAGTATAGGAGGGAGTCTTAGTGCGGTAGCTTCCTCTGTAAATAAGCTTGGTGAACCATTTTCTGCTGTCCTGTGTCAAATATTCCACTGATATATGATTTTTTTTTTTTCAAATTCTAAAATGTACTATCTAGTGATGAGATGACCCTTCAACTCTGCAACCTGGTTGTTTACATTTTTTTACATAGTAAACTCTGGTTCCAAATCCCTCACTGTGTGGGTGGAGATGTACAATAAAGGGAGATTACACCATGGACTCCAGCAGTATGGAACTTTGGGAGACCTAGAAGGGAGGTCCGAGGAAGATCAGGACACTAATTTTTTGCATAGGGTTCTGTACCTAAATAAAGTATTGGGGGCTCAAACCCCAAATCTTCAAGGCTTAGTGTCCCAAAAGAACAAGACCCCAACCTTGAAAAGGCAAAGAGACTCCAACAACTGTTTTCAGAAATCATCTTCTTTAGGTATCAAAATTCACCCTTCCACGTTGCCTTGGTTCTAGACCACACCGCTCGTGGCTGATTTGGGTCCAGAGAGGCAGGGGTACCCATCCCCAAACAATGGCATTACCTTCTGCACATTCATTCTTCTTCCACTCTGTGTTTCTCACTCGTTCACGGAACCAGCTATACATAGAGCAACTCCCAAGATAGTAAGCAGCATTCCTACCACGGCTCCTAAGGAGACAGGACATACAAAAATGGGAGGAATCATGAGCACTCACCACTAATCAGTTAGGCCTTGTCCTCTATTCAAATGCTACAGTGATGATGTGGTCTGACTGGCTAGATAGAGAGGATCAGAAACATGCTAGTTCCAGATGAATTTCAGCAGTGTTGTTAATAGCAGGTTCTAAGACACTTTTCCTCATGTCTGTGCAGAGATTTATTTTTTTAAACTATTAACTATATTATAAAAGTTCTTAGGAAAATAGTCCTTGTTTGCTCGAGTCAGGGAAACCTTGTTAACACTGTACTAACAATAGCTGTGTTTAAAGACAAATGTAGCTATTAGCATGGGCCTATGGAGCTGGACTTCATCCCAGTCAGTTACAAACCGTCTCAAACGTGCAGCCATTTTATGAAGTTATCTAGTGTCAGACAGTGGACTGAGGGAGGGGGTGAGGAAGAAGAATCTTCATTGGTATTTTAGGTTTTTATAGAACATCTTTCTTGGCCTAGAGGGGTGTTCACCAGTTCTGTTCTGCTCACGTGTCTTTATTGTGTAAAGGCTTGAACCTGAGGTACGCGTACCCTTAACTTCCATTGACTTGAAGTGTACAGGATGGCTCTAAATCTACAGATTTCACCCTCTCTCAACGATGATCCTAGAAAGCTGAATAAGCTGTTATTGGAACAAAATGCCATCATGCTTTCAATTTGCTTGGTTTCTTCCCTCACCAGGACAACATTCTTACCTTCTGCAGCTTACCCACAGTGTAGCTCCTTAATGTAAAAATATTAAGTTACTACTAGCAGAGTAGAGTTGTCCAAAACCTAGTTTCAAATCCCTCTGAGAGACAACAGCAACTGATGATCACACACAGACTAGTGCTATCTTATATCCATCCATGAAAAGGTAGGATGAACCAGATCATCACCCTGTACACATCTAGGGGAGGGGTCCTCAATAAATCCATCTCCACCTATGATAAGATGAACTATTTAACTAACCACACATCTTGCCCCTAGAATTACATGATCTAGCTAGACCTCACGCAAAACAATGGTAATCTAGATGTTCAAGGTATGGTGCTGAATGCCAAGCTGTGTGCAGAGCACATATATAAAAGCATTGCACTGAAGTATGACTTACTTTTACCACCAATGTCTTCCCCAAGAATCTTCCCAGTTACGACTGTGACTATCAAAGCCAGAGAGTTACAGAGAGGCACCGCCAGGGACAGGTCTGAAATTGAACAGGGAATGTTGACATGGTTAGTTAAAAACAGTTTAAAAACTAAATCTTATAAAAATCACTTTCTCATGACTAATGCAAAACTGCTCTATCCTGTTGTGTGTAGGCTTGGAAGGCTTAGATTTTTGTTGGTAAACACTGATTTCACTGTACACACAAACCAACAATAAATAAATAATGGAGATATCCTATCTCCTAGAACTGGACAGGACCTTGAAAGGTCATTGAGTCCAGCCCCCTGCCTTCACTAGCAGGACCAAGTACTGATTTTGCCCCAGACCCCTAAGTGGCCCCCTCAAGGATTGAACTCACAACCCTGGGTTTAACAGGCCAATGCTCAAACCACTGAGCTATCCCTCCCCCATTATTTACAGAAATTTACAGATAGGCAAAGTGAGAAAAATGCTGCTTGAGAACTTATTATATTTTAAGGAAATTTACTTTCTATATTTTAACATGTGATGTGACGATTTTTGTGTTTTAATGATTATACATATTTAATTTTTTGCATCTCAATAGCTGTCATTAAATAATGGCCGTGCTCCTCCCCATAATTTCTTGCAACTTTGAAAATGTAAATTGATAAAAATACAAAAAATGTTTACTAATAAACGTTGATATGTCAAAAAAAAAAAAAACATTCTGCCAAGCCTCGATATGTGTAATTGATTTCTTGGCTGGGCCACAGAAATTCTCAAGGATGAAATTGTCTATCCAGCCCCAGCTATCCCACTACACTGAAACATAATAGCAAGGACTAACCTGTAGATGCCAATGTGAGATAGTAGATTATTGATCCACACTGATTAAACAGAAATGGCACCATGTACTACAAGGAAAACACAACATATTCAGTCACTGCACATGAAACGACCATATACACAGCATGAATGTTATGTGAGGACATGAAGCTAGTTGTTAGAGTGGGGGATTAGGAGCCAGGACTCATTTGTTCTGTTCCTCACTCTAGAAGGAAGTGTGGTCTAGCAGTTAAATCACAGGGCTCTGTTTATGGTTGTGCCCCTAACTCCTTGTGTAAAGTGCTTCAAAATCCTCATGGGAAAAGTGGTACCATATGCAAGATAAATGGAATATCACAAAGGATAAAAATCAACTTTCCAATAAAAACCATCAAACTGAGAGCAGATATAATTAAATGGTCAATAAAATTAATGTTAAAGCCAGATTAAGCCACAGACATTCAACACAATCTCCATTCAGGAGGCCCCCTTGGCACTACCTGAAATGGTTTGGAGGGTTTGGAGGGGGTTCTAATACCTTATAATTGAGGCACAGGAATTTCATCTCTGCAAGCAGCTGCAGCACCCGGTTCCTTTGCTTCACCTTCTCCATTCCCTCTGTCCCGGTCTTCAAAAATGGGTTTGTTCCTCCCCACAGAATAGCCACTAGGACCAGTGCAGACACTTCCCCTGCAACACAATCACAAATCACCACAGTTCAGGGATTATTTGGGTCCTGTAATATGAGTTTCTCACTTTAGTTCTTCCATTATCCCAACTCCATGGCTGCATGTAGTGCAGGGTGGAACCTGCCATTTGCTCTGTGACTAATCTTGTGTTCTGAACATCAAGCCTGCGTCTGCCACTGTGACCATCACAAATTCCTGCACTTTTCCCCTCTCTCCTCCTGTGTTAAAAGCCCAATTGCGGAAAGGGCCCAGTACCCAGAACTCCTGTTCTACCCTCTCTCACCCTTACTGCTCTCTCTAACTCAATGCACTCCCACCTGTTTGGAACAGTCTCTCACTCCATGTGTGTCAAACTATCAAATCCTCCTTTAAATCTCACTTCTTCCACAAAGCCTCCTATGCAATGGTCTTACCAACCAACTCTCACAAAAGAACTATTGTTCCCAGCATAGTGTTTGTCTGAGGTTTGGGTGACCAGAGAGCAAGTGCGAAAAATTGGGACAGGGGTGGGGGGTAATAGGAGCCTATATAAGAAAAAGACCCTAAAATCGGGACATCTGGTCACCCTATCTGAGGTCGACTATAAGCCCCTACACGTAGGGGCCTTTTCTTACGATGTCTTCTGTAATGTAGCAAGTACATTTAGTGCATAACAGTGTTATTAACATAGTGTTATTTAGTAAATAACAATCAACTTTAATGATGTTGTGACCAGTTCCAGTACAATAAATGCAACCCAATCATCATATTTGCAAAGCACTAAAGAATGAGAGATGTTAAACAGTTCTGAGCTTTTATGGTGCATTATGTATTTTAGAATAGTGCAAAACACTGAACAGTCCTGTTTGAATGCTGCTGACAGTGCAGTATTTTGCAATAAATGTTACTGTGTAATGTTCACGCAGGTTTATTACACACATTTAGTTGTGCTGCAGTTCTTTTTCTGTCCATATACTATTGAAGATTATTCCAGTCCATGAAAGCAGGTTAAATAAATTATCAGTGAGAAAGTTGGGCTCTACATTACTTTATGGGTCTTGTTAGCAGTGTGCTGTGGCCCAATCAGTGCTGGCTTGAGATGTACTGGCATCAAACACAAATCAGTTTACATTTTTGGCACTCCTCCCATGCAACCAGCCTGGAACCGTGCGGCATTTGTGCTTTGGACCTAGGGTGACCAGATAGCAAGTGTAAAAAATTGGGACAGGCGGTCGGGGGGGGGGGGGAAGAGGGAGAGAATAGGTGCCTATATACGAAGAAGAAAAAAAATCAGGACTGTCCCTATAAAATCGGGACATCTGGTCATCCTATTTGGACCACAACCTGCAGAGTGTGGTGAGCAAAAGGGAGTTGAGCAGCTTTAATAAACCTGGCTACATTATGTCCTGGGAGGTGATGTCCTGGGAGGCAGCTGCCACCCGCTCAATAAACAACTGGGCGTGTTTGTGTATACAAGGCCAGTGAAGCGACTGTCTTAGGCCCTCCTGTGGTCCCATTACAGATGGGAAACCTTGTCAACCCCATATGGTGGAGGGGAACTGCCTGCTTTCCCCTTCCTACGTGGAGCCCCCCCCAGCACTTGGGAACCCCCTGACTATCCTCTTCCCCTGCACCCCTAACACTGAGGACACCCTGAACCTCACCTGCCCCAGTGGGGAGCCCCCAACACTAGAAATCCCCTTCCCCTGGGCCCACACCACGGGGGCCGTCTAGCACAGAGAGCCCCCTGCGGGGCCCTCTCCCTTCTCCCAGCAAAGAAACCCCTGTGCCTCGCCCGTGCCCCACCCTGGGGGGCCCTTCCCCTTGGGCCCCACCCGGGGGGGGACCCTCTCCCCGGGCAGGGCGAACCCAGCACTGTCCTGGGGGGTGACCCCGGAAGCGGGAAACTCACCCCCAGAGGCCATGGCGGCGCCTGTTCACTTCCGGCCAGGCCGCGCCCCCTGACCCGGATGTGATTCCTCCCCCTTCCCTTCACGCGGAGCGCTGCGCAGGCTGTTGCCGGGGCTGAGCAGTCGCCATGGTGAGTGCGGGGCCGGGAGGCCTCCTGGGCTCGGTGGGAATGGGGGGGGCCCTTGGGCGGGGAGACCAGGCTGCGGGAGGCGGCTCTGTGGGGAGTGAGGGTTTCACCCTTTTCCCTTCCCGCGGTGTCCTGCTCCCCCCTCCCCCCGCCGGGCCCGGAGCCCCTCCCCGCGGTGTCATTGCCCCCCCCCTCCCCCCGCCGGGCCCGGAGCCCCTCCCCGCGGTGTCATTGCCCCCCCCCCTTTCTTCTTTCGCCCCCGCCGGGCCCGGAGCCCCCTTCTTCCTGGCCTGGAGCCTGCCCCCCTGGCATCATGGCCCTTCCTTCTCTCTGGTCCAGAGCGCATCCCCCCGGGTCATGGCCCAGAGCTCCGCATTATCCCTCTCCCGCTGAGATCCCCTTTGCTGGAGGGGGGTGTCCCAGTGTAACGTGGCACCTGATGCCACTCCAGTGCGATGCGGGTCCCAGTGTGAGGAGCCACCTGGGCCCTGTGGCACAGGGATCCCCACCCTCAAGGTGAGGCAATGCTTGGCACAGCCAGTGTTGTGGGGATAAAGCCCCCTTATTGGGTGGGATCAGCAACCTCCTGAAGTTCTTTCTGGCTCCTTGTGTCTGTGTGTCTAATTCAATCCACAGTCCTCACCGTTTCAGCCTACTGGGCTCAGAAGTGTCAGGGCTTGTGAGATGACAGGTCCCCTTCCAGGGCTACTCAGTGAGACCTAGCAGCCTGGGAAAATAAACAGCCAATAATGCTGTGTGGTTTGGGGACTCTGGACTCTGCTAAAGTTGACTAACAGGCTCACACCAGGGATGAATTTAGCTCCATCTCTTTGGGGAGATGAGGTTTTCTTATGCAGGTTTCACAGTATAAAAAGGTAGAAACAGGAGCAAATGGACTAGCTCTAGTTGTGTTTGATGGAAACTCTGTACTTGTGTACTTGCATAAATCGTAAAGCTTGGAGGTTTGTCATTTTGCTTTAAAATACTGGATTTTTTTTTAAATGATCTATCTCCCTTTAGAAACCTATCCTGCTGCAAGGTCATGAGAGGTCCATTACTCAAATCAAATATAACCGTGAAGGAGATCTACTCTTTACAGTAGCCAAAGATCCTGTAAGTATTCCAGCGCCTTTGAGTTAAGTGTTTCATGTGTCTCAAACTTTTCTTTTTTTGGGGGGGGGGGGGGCAGGAAGAGAACTTAAACAGGATTCTAAGAACATGAAAGTTCTTGCAGCCTGTTTAATATTATGGTGAGGTGTCACAAAACCACACCTGAGATGGGGTCAGTTTTTAGTTTAACAAGTTGTTATAGTGACTCCCTTTTGCAAGAGGCTGGGATTTGGGAGTAGCCATGGGTTTCCATCTTTCTAACCTATCCCACAGAGAGTTCTCAGTCCTGCATTGTAGCACTATACAGTGTTTGGCTTTTACAGAGACTTTGTATAAAAATTGGTAATTAAACAGTATTTTATCATCTGTATAGTCTGAAAATCCATTTTGTCCAGGGTGTTGGATGTACCTCTCTTCTCCTATACCCGGAAACAATTATTCCCATTCCTAGAAACCTTCCATGTTTCCTGTTCAGTTTGAGATCTAGTATAAAACCAACCTGCCTCCTCTTCAGGATTCCTCACAGAATTGTTTTTCTACATCTAGCACTTCTTTGTGTTCTCAGTGTCTCCTCTGTCTTACTTGAACAGCATCTATTTCTTCCTCCTCTCCCTGTGTTCCCCCTTAGGCTGTCCCAGGAGTGAGATTTTATTGCCTTTCTCCCCTCTGATTCTTTTCAAATCCTATTTCCAGACCCATGTAGAGCGCCATCTCTGCCTGGCTTTCAACATCTATTCTGTCTAGCTGCATTTATAAAGTACCTGTTGCCATACCATCTAGACATAGCAGCTCTTAACACAAAAGGTGCACCATACTCCTGGTGTATCCATGCTCATTCATTTTCTACATAATTTGACCTCTCCACCCTTTAACATTCCTGTCCTACTACCTCTAGTGATGTTGCCCATTAGCTATATTCTACCGCATGTGCTCCTGTTCGTATGTGCAGTGATAGAGACTTGAGATACTCCAAGATGAGACCATATGGAAATAAATTGCATTCATTTATTTAGCAACTTGTTCTAAAGTGGCTGCTTGACTAAATGTTTTGCTTTCCCAGATTGTCAATGTCTGGTACTCAATCAATGGAGAGAGGCTTGGCACTTACACTGGCCACACTGGAGCTGTCTGGTGTGTGGATGCAGATTGTATCCTTCGGTGACTGAAACCTGTCTGTCTGCTTGTTTTATGATGATTCTTCTCGGGTGAAGTGGGATGTTTTTATTGTGGACACTAGGTGGCAGGCACTACAATGAGTGATTTTATTGCTGGTATCCTGGTCTTTTAATTACTCTCCACTGGCTTCTCCTTCTCTCCTCCCCCTCCCCCTCCACCCCCCCAATTTGAAATAGTACATAAACTGTAGGCCATTGTGTTCCACCCTCACTTATTCAGACAGCACTTTTTACTAACCTACTGTGCTCAGGTTCACAGGGCTCTGGAGTTCTTAGAAGATGCCTGAATTTCAAAGTGACCTTCTGTCACCAATGCAGATAGGTGATAAAATAGTTACATTAATGCGGGTTTCTTGCATTTAAGAGTTGAACTCCTTAATGCCCCAGAGCAGGAAATTCAAAGTTATGGTTCCCTCTGTGTATGTGCCTGGACATAGTATGTTGGAATGAAAGTTATTTCATCTGCATGATTTTTTTTTCTGATTCTAGATAAATACTGTAGCTACTGCATATCTTGTGTATTTATGTATCCTACGGCAAAATGTGGATATTGGCCTTTAGGGGTGATGGGGTGTGAGAATTTGTTGGCATTCCCTAACTGATGATGCAGGGGACACAAGACACGTGCTTACTGGCTCGGCAGACAACTCCTGCCGGCTCTGGGACTGCGAAACAGGTAGGACAAGAATATTGGGGTGA